TCTATCATACTTGCAACTTGTTCCTGTGATGTGTTTCTAGCTTGTTCCTCTGTGCTGTCTTCCAGTCCAGCTTGGTCAAGCCATTGGTAGTGTGATGGCCAAACCCGTGGCCACACTCTAAAGTCAGTAACTCTTGTATTTTCATTTCTTCATTTGAACATAGTAATACACTTTAGTTTTCAATAACTTTATTGATTGGTTTGGATACATTTTTTCTATTGTTAAGCGCGCACATTTAGTTTACTTATGTGTTCATACCACTTCATTTTTTTCACTTTGATTTTTGACTAACCTTTGTCTTTTTATTTCTTACCTGCCGTCATCCGTGGGAGTTGCTGGACAAAAGATGGTAACCAAGGTTTGAAACCACTAAATGCAAAGAGGGATAATTGGACCACACCACCACTTCCTACTGAAGGGGAGAATGTTTTTAAATTAAAGAAAACACACAAAGTATTTCTATTTAATTAAATATTTGAGTTTAGGGTTTAGTGGTTTTGATTTTCTTCTTTAGTGTTTAGTTTATTAACAAACTAGATTGTACTGCATTGTGTTGTGATTTATGATTGTGTTTGTTTGTTGCCCCTCATGTGTCACAATGGTCTGATCAGCTATTATATATACCCCTGTGCGTCATGTTTAGGTCAATTATGTTTGTTTGGGCAGTCATTTGGTTTGTTAAGTTTGCAGTCTTGGCCTGAGTTCAGTTTTGTTTCTTTGACCTGTTTTATGAGCTCAACATTTATTACTTTTGTAAATCTAATTTTTGGGGGTTAAATAAATGAAAACCATATTTTTCTAATAATTCCTGGGACTCCTGTTTTTCAACTCAGTCCATCACAGGTAGGATTTTTCAATATCAGCCACTTTTTCTGTCTACTGGTGGTTCATGCCATGTAGGGGCCTGTTGTTCCATGATTGTTCCTCTTCTTGATCCCCTTGTTTCTTGGGTTTCTCGCTGCCTCATGTATTTACTGAGCAATTAAATTAAATTTTATTTATATAGCACACAAAGCAAGGTGTTTAAAGCACTCTTCTGGGAGATCTCAGATATCACTCCTGGGATCTGCAGGAGCCACCTGCCCAGTTTAGAGGTCACTGCCCAAAGTGCTAGCATCTTGCACCCTGCTGTTATGTGCTTGATTGTCTCAGGGCCATCTTTATACACTCTGCACCTGGGCTCTTGCCTGGTGTGGTAGACCCTAATGATTTGTGATACCACTGATTTCCTTTCCGATCCAATATTGAATTTTATTTCATAATGCAATATGTAATTGTAATATTATTATAATATAGCTTCATAATGATTACAGGACATCACACTACTTGTTCTTATTGCTTAAAAATGCAGAAAAATCATATAGAAATAAATAAAACCTGAAGTTGTGCTATTTGAACACGTTGCCTGCCTGCAGCACTAAAGGACTCCGTGAGAGACGTCTGTCTCGCCCTAGCAGCACCTGTCCCTGTCCTCCTCTTCAGTTCGGCTCAACATAAGCTCGTCATATTCTGTGATATGATTTACTCTGAGGTGTTTGACGAGGTTAGTGGTGTTGCTACAACACCTCACTTTCTTGCCACATGTATCGCAAACCGCGTCTTGGCTGTTTGTGGAAGTAAAATATGCCCACACATGACTCTGTTTACACTCAGCCATTGTGAGTGCGCACGCCAGGGGCTGCCACACATTTATAGAGCCGTATTTCGCATATGACTATGAACGGCATAAGAGGAAGTGGTTCCTTCCAATTTAGACGATCCGAATGATATAGTTTCTTTCCACTGTGTTCCTGTTAATGAAAAACTACAAATTTACCCCAAAGTACTAAAATATCGATATTTTAATATGAGAAGCGATTCTAGAACTTAAACTACTGGTATCAGAAGAATCGATATTTCTATATCAATCCGCACACCACTAGTATACCCATCTATGAACCTTGAGAGGTTGTTCCTGTGCCCTTCACACTTGGCTGCAAACCATTCCAGTGTGAGCTTGAGGCCATCACCTGATGAACCCAACAGAACAACATCATCCGGGAAAAGCAGAAGTGAGATTCTGAGACCCACTAAGTGAATGCCTTCCGTCACTTGGCTACACCTAGAAATTATGTCAATAAAAATTCTGAACAGAATCGGTGACAAATGGCAGCCCTGGCAGAGCCTATCACCCACTGGGAATGAGTCTTATTTATTACCGGCTATGTGACCCAACGGTTGTATAAAGATCAAATGTTTCCTTCTTGCCTCATACAGCATACAAGCACATCATCTAAACCTTTTACTCATTTGTTGCCAAAAACTTCTCCACTTATGATGTGCATTTCAAACTGTAATATGAGCAACACATATGCTGGATCTCATACACTGATATTTTATTTATTATTCATAAGGTTCAAATGCATCATACATTTTTTAATATAGTAAAAAATAGCACAACAGTACAGTGGATTATTTTACAAGAGGATGATTCTCTCCCCTCCTTTAACCTGTGAACTTTCCCAAAGGCTCCCAAGCAAGTGACATGAATTATTTCATGCAGCCTTCAACCAAACTAAAAATTACACCTTTTAGAAAAGATAACTGAATAATTCGCCATCTCCAGGAGTTTAGCTCTACAAGTTAATTATGATGATTATTTAATAGTGCATAACTATTGCAGAGGGTTCATGACATATTTCAAGGTCATAAATTATTAAGTTCTCACCTTCACAGTTTGTCCGGCTTCAGGGCCATCCTGGTGGGAAAAGAAAGGGGTAATTAGTCCAGAGATGAGAATTTAGATATACTTGCATTAATATTTTAAAGAAAGAATTTAATTTAAGATGAGGTAATAACATCTCACCTCCCCTAAAACAACCCCCTTGGTTTGTGTCAAAGCCGTCTTTATCCTGAGATATTTGTCTTCATAGGCAACTTTTTGGCTATATTTATTCAATGGGATTTAGTTTTTTAAATGTTCCATATTTAGACTAAAGTGCATACAACCAACGTTAATTGATGGGTTTTAACAAAGATATAGCAGTATCTGTTTAAGAATTACAGCCAACTCAAAATCTCCACTTCAAACCATTACTCAAAACCTTTTGGAACAGATGGATTTGCAGAACAGTCATTAACACTCGATCCAACAGCTATAATGTAAAAATACAGCAGGTAAATTCTCCATTTATCTTGTAGAGATTGTCAAATTATGTTAAATGTGATTTTTTATCTAATTGCATTTATGTATTTTGTATGTGATTTTTCCACTGAGCTTACCTGCAGTGGAAAAATTGCCCTGGCAATAGTCAGTTGGGTCACTCAGATTTCCCATGCTAGGAAATATTATTAAAACCTATTTTGTGGCTCTAGTCAGAGTGTGAGTGTGGTTTGTTACAGATGCAGCAGTACAAGACACAGTATGTTTGTTGTCCCTTTACTGTCCGCTGCAGCATAATACTCGCTGGAGGTGAGTGACTATTTTTTGCGCCTCGATTCTCTTCCAAAATGAAGGAAAGTGAAATAAATACTGAGTTACCAGTTTATGGGCCCACGCATGAAAAGACCAATCCTCTCACATGTACTATTGCTAAATCGCCACCTTTTTTTCTTTACTTTTGGTCCCTTGCGCAAAAAGATCTAAGAAAAGACCTTTTTTCAGATTAACATTTGATATGTTTTCAAGGTTATATTGTGAAAAAATATGGTTGATCTGATCATTGAATCTGACTTTTCGTTTTTACATGTTACACAACTTTTCAACTTTTTCAGATTTGGGTTTGTAGAAAAAAAGATACAGTCAGTATGTACACAATTATGTGACCACACTGATCATTATTTCCCATCACCTTACAGTAAAAAAATGAGCTACATAGTTTTTTCCCCCCTCTCTCTCTCCTAAATGTGCTTCAAGACCATCTCCATTGTGCCAGGGCCGAAACACTCACCACCAACATACCTGAACAACTGTCACCCTGTTGAACTCGTGCCCATAGTTATGAAATTTTTTGAGCAACTGCTCATGGCAAAGCTCAAGAGATGCTTGCTCCCCTCGGATCTTCAGCTCTCTTGGGTGCCGTGGACGGCTGGGGTCTCCTGGGTCTTACCCAGTCTGCCTCTGGCTCTTGGGAGGGTGGCATTACTGCATTATTATCCAATTTTTTTATCACCCTATTTTTATTATTACTCTACTTTTCAAGTACCGTCATGGTTCTGGGTCATATCACCCAGCATTTTGAGTTTATGGTGTTTTCATGTCTGCGTCCTGTTATGATGCCTGTGGCATT